CCACCCACTGTCTCTCTCTCTCTCTCTCTCTCTCTCACTTATCATGGAGAGCGCACCCACCGTCCTAAACAAGCCACCCCCACCTTTCCCAGCACCGCCCAGAAGCGTAGACTTCTCTGCCCTCGGATTCATCCTCGGCCTCGTCGCCGTCATCACCATCCCTGCTCTCGTCTACGCTTTCTTCTTCTCCATCAAGTGCCCTCCCAACCCTTTCCGCCGCCGGCATCACCGGAGCTCCACCACCGCATCGGGACCCATCCGACCCGAACCCAACACCCTCAACCGGAACGACGTCATTTCGGACGTCAAGTACCAGAAACAGACCCATGTGAAGGAAATTGGAACAGAGTGCCCTGTTTGCTTGTCTGTGTTTGCTGATGGCGAAGAGGTCAGGCAGCTGAGCGTCTGCAAGCACTCTTTTCACGCTCTCTGTATAAACATGTGGCTTAAAGACCACTCCAATTGCCCCATTTGTCGAGCTTATATTGCCGTCGATCGTAGTAGTGGTAACAATCGAACGGCGTCTGGTGCAGCTAGAGATAGAGATGATCAGCAACAAGGTTTGCCAGATGCTTCGTCTATGGTTTGACACTAAATTAATTTTGGTTTTTTCCTTTTGTTCTTGGAGAGGGTCTTGTGGTGATGGGTTTTGGTGGAAGATTATGATGACAACATGTGGCAGCTGGGATATTGGGTTAATTCTTTTGCTTTCTTTTGAAGTTTTCGGAAACTCACCGACAAAGTTGTAAACTTGTAGCTATAGTTCAATTTCTTTAGCTTTTTACTGGAGAGAGAGAGAGAGAGAGAGAAATGCTAGAAAGTAGTTGATTTAATCAGGGCTTCTTCTATAATTTGAAGGTTGAAAGTTGAAAGTTGAAACTTTGAGCTGAATTTCAAACCAGATGATGTTTGTTTTAATCACCTTTACCATATGGCATGCCTAATCATTTCTCAACTGTAGCCATGTGAGAATTAGGAGAAGAAATCCTAGCAGGGTTGAGTGAAAGGGATATTGTATTATAATTAAGTGTATATGCAGGTAGCAGATTGATTTGTAAGAACTTTCATTTCAGCATGAAAAAATGGAAAGAAAACAAATTAAATAGGGTTTTTGCTTCTTCATGAAAAAAAAAAAGAAAAAAAAGAAGAAGAAGATGAGAGAGGAAATAAGTGAATGTGCTTGTTATTTTTAAGGTTCTTTTTATATTTTTGCTCAGTGAGTCTCTAATGAACACTACAGAAGTGGAGTGGGTGGGTGAGTCATGAAAGTTTCTTTACAAACAGTCTGAGTTCATACGACACGTAAATTGTAATGATGTTTGTTGTTTGCAGACTTAATTAAAAAGGAAACAAATAAGAAGTACCTAAACATTTGCTTGTCAACAACCCCATTTGGTGTTTGATCATTTATAAGTTGACACGTCCCTTCAATGGGTTATGTAATAAGCACTTGATCCATCAGTCCAACTAATAATATGATTAAAATGAGCAGAGCACCAACTTGTATGATTAAGGGCTTATTTGGACCACTCCATGCCTAATTAACCTACTTTAAATTTTGTTTTTATACATACGATATCACACTACAGAGGAGGATTCGAGTTCGGGTGCATTGCACTATTTGAAAATTATTACATAAAAAGAAAAGAGTTCGTATGCAATTTGGGAGGAAATTTCGTTCGTCAACAATCAACGTGAGTCGTTAGTTCTGGCCCATTTGGTGCCAAAAGTTTTTTTGTTTTATTTTCCTTTTCCATTGTCTTATCTGTGTCCTCAAGCAAAAAAGGGACTTGGCCCTAGATGGCTCATAAGGCCACCTCTTATATATTTTTTACTTCTTTCCATCGACTCATAACCCTTTTCAAATTGAAATGTTGGCAATGTTTAGAATTCAATGCTCCTGCTCAATCACGTTTTCTTCTTCTTAGATTCAAAGGAGAAAATGATAAAGAGAATGGAGCTCTGGTCCTCAGTCTAGAGAGTTCTATGTGCTGTTGCTGTTCAAGTTAAAATTGGAAATTTGGACAAAAGGCATTCCTACAATATACGTTACAGAATAACTGCTCTTAACCGGTTGAGATAGATCCCTAGCAACGTCGATTCGATTGTATTAAACAAAAGGAAGTTAAGGTGTACCACAAACACAAACGATCAAGCGGTAGCAGATCACAACAGACATTTCAAATTAAATACTAACGGGTATGCTTTCCCTCTCCCACTGAACCCATTTTCCCACCCGTAAATTATAAACAAAAGAGAAGAAAAAGCTTCACGCCGACACCACCTCCTACCTTCTCACTCCCTCCAAACCCAACCCACATCACCAAATCTCTCATCTTTTTTGTCATTTTCCAATTTCCTCTTGATCCCCAAAAGTAAAGAACTTTTTTTTTTTTACCTCCATGAAAAGAGCTCACGCTCAATGGCTGATGATTTTAACCGCCACTTCCCTCCTCTTCCTCATCGTTCTCCTTACCGTAACCCTAACCGGCCACGGTAAATACTCCTCCGGCGCCTCCGATTTTTACTACGAGCAGCGCCAGTTCACCACTCTGGACCGAAATTTTGGAGACACTGCCGAAAACAACGACGGCGACAGCAACCGGTTAGGGCTTCCGAAACTCCCGAGATTCGCTTACCTCATATCGGGCTCCAGGGGCGATGGCCCGCAGCTGCGGCGGTTGCTTCAGGCGCTTTATCACCCGAGAAATTACTATTTGCTGCACCTCGATCTCGAAGCTTCGGACGCCGAGAGGCTCGAGCTGGCGAAATTCGTGAAATCGGAGGCTGTGATTCGGGAGTTTCGGAATGCCATGGTGATCGGAAACGCCGATTTGGTCACCGCCAAGGGCCCCACTATGATTGCCTCCACGCTTCACGCCATTGCGATTTTGCTCAAGCGGGCTAAGGATTGGGATTGGTTTATTAATCTCAGCGCCTCAGATTATCCTCTTATGTCCCAAGATGGTAACTTTACTAATTTTAGTTCTATTTTGTTAATTCCAGATTCATTAAAGTTTCTAAATTGTTGCTGTTATAGAGCTTTTGCATATTTTTTCTTTCTTGCCGAGGGAGCTCAACTTCTTGGAGCACACTAGCAATATTGGGTGGAAAGAGTAAGCATCCAATTTTTTTATAACGCAATTCAACAACTGGTTTCTTTCTAGTGTTGGGCTTGATATTCATAATTTGCATATGTGTTTGTGGGAATGTTACAGAAATCAAAGGGCAAGGCCTATTATTGTTGATCCGGGCTTGTACCACTCTAAGAAATCCGGTGTGTTTTGGGCTAAAGAGAGAAGGTCAATGCCTGCTTCCTTCAAGTTATTCATGGGTACTTCTCCTTCTCTACATTTAAGCATATTTTGTTTATTTTGTCATGGCGAACAGGTATAGTAGTCTTTCTATGTGGTTTTCAGTTGAGATTATGAAATGGAGGATAAATTGAATTAGAACGAATTTAGAAATGGCTTCAAAATCCAAAACGAATTTGGTATTTCTTCATTTTTTAGCTTTCTATACAACCTCCTGATTCTGATTTGCAATTACACATTTACCATGAGAAGAAAACTATAATAAGCTGGGATTTCCTAGAACTTTGTTTAGATTTAGTTTCTTGACATAATCAATGCAACTGCCTTCAGCACAGTGTGGTGTCTCAGTTCCTTAAAGCCGGAGAATTATAATATCATTATCTAATCTTTCATAATGATAAGCTCATAATCAATGATACTATAATGATAAGCTGATAACCAGTGTGATGCTGCAATAGTCTGGTGGAAGACTTCAATCTTGCCATTTTGATCATAGCCTACAGTTTTTACATCCACAAGAGTGGAACCCATGAATTTTCATATGTATTCTGTGGTTCCTCAACCTTGATTTGGAACCTGAAAATGCCATTTAACATGATGCAAATTGAGAGTATTTATTGTACTTGTTGAATGGTTTATCTTGCTTACTATATGTGGCTGATGGATTGTAGAAGCATTTTATTTTGCATATCTCAAACATAAATCTGTCTACTTTCAGGGTCCACATGGGTGGTGCTGACCAAATCGTTTCTTGAGTTCTGTGTTTTGGGGTGGGACAATCTTCCCCGCACTCTTCTCATGTATTACACCAATTTCTTGTCATCCCCAGAGGGCTACTTCCACACCCTTGCGTGCAACCACAAGGACTACCAGAACACGACCGTGAATCATAACTTGCATTACATAAGGTGGGATAGCCCTCCAAAGGCAAATCCAATTAACCTAACGCTGGAACATTACAACGACATGGTCCAAAGTGGAGCTCCTTTTGCTGGTTCATTTGCCAGGGACGATCCGGTTCTCGACATAATTGACAAGGAGCTCTTGAAGAGACCAAGAGGCCAGTTTACACCGGGTGGTTGGTGTTTAGGGAAGTTAGGTAAAGATCCGTGTTTAGCTTATGGCAACCCAAATGCTGTAAAACCAACTGTAGTTTCAAAGAGGCTAGAGAAACTCATTGTGAAACTTCTTGATTCTGAAAATTTCCGGCCTAAGCAATGTAAATAGTCTTGTCTATGCTTGATTTTCCCTCCCTCCCACATTTACATTTTTTCTTTTCAGTCTAATAAAAAAGAAGATAAAACGAACTTGGGAGAGAAACCCTTTAAGAAAACCAAAACTGGTTAAGTGATTAAGCAGCTAACCGTGCATTATATGCTTCTTGAGAATAATAAAAAGAAACATTGGCGTCGCACGGACTCGAACCGCAGACCTTCAGTGTGTTAGACTGACGTGATAACCAGCTACACCACGACACCTTTGTGCCCTGAGTTTCCCTTTAGGAGCAATAAGTACAAAGACATGGAAATAAAATATGAATTTGGGTTTGGGCTACTCCAATCCAATGTGGGCAAAACCGCGGGCCTGGTGGCACAAAAATCAAACTTCAGGGGTGGGCCCATTATGTGGCAGTTTAATTTTAGCACGCTCTGCCTTTTATTTCATCTGTTCCTACTTCGTCGTCTTCATATTCGAGAAAAGCGGGAACTGCAAATTTATATATACATATTTTCAATCTTATAATAATATGCTGGAAAAATCCCCCTATTTTTAGGGTTTGCGCTTCTCCTTCAAGAGACACCTAGATCTTCAGGTTCGCGCTCCTCTTTCATTTGAATGCCTCCATTTTTCTTAAACGCAAAAATTTACATCTCTCTATTTCTTTTTCTTTAATTTTATTTAATTTACTGTATTTTTGTTTTCTTTACTTTTGTGATGGATGAGCAGTATAGTGATTCTCGTTGTTCTAGTAATTCTTGTAAATTCTGTAGCGTCATTTGTATGTGTTTGGAAGCTCATCAATTTGATCATTCTGTGGTGTTTGTCGATTCAATTGCTTTCGGTTTGAGAAAGCTTGAGCCAGTAATTTGGAAAATTGGCAATGACTCATTTAAGAAAATGTTATGGTGGAGATGGCTGATTTCATTGGATCCTCCTGACACTAAAATCACTTGATTAATTGAATTTAAATGGTGCTATGTTTCTTTTATGAATTGAATTGTAGTTTCTTTCCTTTTAAGATACAGGAGAAATTACAAAGAAGTGTGTTTTTATTACTCACCGGAAACGCCTAGAATTATCTTTGTTTGATTTGCAGAGTGTAGCTAGTTGAACGTTATGGATGATAACTACTCGGGGGATTCATTTGGTGGATTCTTTCAGAATGGGAGTGCACGGAGATCTATCACTTTCGATCATGACAATACTAGTACTGCCGATGTTGAGATGTGAGTAAAGTGGTTTATGCATCATATCATATTATTCCTTTTTCATCTACATATGTTATCAGTTCAACCAGAACCACTGAAGCACTATGTTTGCGATAGAATCATTTTAAGAACTTGTTTGATGGCCACTTTAAGTGGTATCTAAGGGTATTCCTTCTGAAATATATATATTTTTTCTTTTTGTTCCTGCTAAAAGAAATGCTCCAAAGAAGAAAAGGGTTTCAAGAACGACGGGTGGAGGGCTGCGCCAGTTCAGTGCCATAGGTCAGTAATTGATATACACAAGTCAAAATTTTGTTCAGTGATAATATAGTTTGTGCATGTGTTTGTGAAATTAAACCTGTTGTTAATGAATATCATCTCTCAAGGTGGGGTTAGTGAACATATAGATCTCGTTTTCTTTTTCAGTTTGTGACTTGTTGGAGAGCAAGGGAAGAACAACCTATGCTGAGGTATATTTTTCTAAAGTAACTATGAAGTTTATTTGGTGAAGAATCATTATGGAAAAGAATTAATTAAGAGATCCTTTATGTAGTAATTTTTTCTAGGATAGTGTTACATATGGTTTTTCTTTGCGGATAATGGATAGCTTCAATTTCCAGTGTCACATAATCTTCAGATTTTTGTAATATATTTTTCCTTCTTTGATCAGTGAATGTTTAAGTGCGAGTAATTATAGTGATGGTGTTCAGCTTGCAGATTACATAATGTCAGAGTTAGCTGGAAATGACAGTGAAAAAGCAACATCTTTGAGCGAGGTTCAATTCAGACCGATAAATATAACTATCTACATTATGCTTCTTTTAATGACTATCATTATTGTCACAGTTGTTTTGCCATTATGGAAATTACTGAAGTATGTTGTGAAAATGATTTATCAACTTCTCAGTTTAATGACAAAAATATACCACGGCGGGTATATGATGCATTAAATGTTCTTGAGGCATTGGATATCATCACAAGAGTTAAAAAAGAAATCAAGTGGAATGGGATTCCAGACAGAAAGATGGATTTGGAAGGAATGAAGGTTAGTGAATGTCATTATTTTGATCGTGTGATACATAACACGTGCTATAAAATTTGGGGATTGAATAATTTGACAATGTTGATTTTGTCTTTGATTCTTTCAGGCAGAGTGTGTCAAAATGATGAATAGGATTGGAAGGAAAACGGCTTACTTGAAAGACTTAGAAGAGCAAGTAATGATATCTGACATACTTGTAGTCTGATAAGTTTTGTAAATCCCTGTAGTATATCTTGTGGTTTTAGTCTTATTCAGTCCTTGTGGGAATGGTTTGCTAGTAGGACTTGTATTGGAACACTAATTGTTAAATCGCAATAACCTATGACAGTTGGCGTGATTGGTAGTAGATTTTTATTTTATAAAGAACAGAAAATATAGGCTTTAACATTTTTCAGTTTGCTCTACCAAATGGAATTACTCTACCAGCTTATGTTCTAATAGTCTTTGTTATTTCTCTGGAAAAATATGATATAGTTTGCAGATCTCCAAAATTTGATGTATTGCAATAAAGAGTTGCTTAAGAGTGGAAACTCTCGTCCTGGGGGATTTTCTTTGCCATTTATACTGGTCCAGGTATATTACTTTGTTATCTTTTGTTTGTTTGCATGACTAGGACTTGTTTACAGTTGAAAAAATTCTAATTTGAATTGTAACAATCTTACAGTTGAAGCCTGTAGTTAGCATTTCTTCGAGTTATGACATAAATTTATCTTCTAATTATTAGGACAGAATGGGCACTAGTTTGGTTGACATTTCAGTTGATGCAGACTTGGTACTTTGTCATCATTGATATGTTGATCAGCTAGTGCACACTGGTGTGAACTTAATTCCTGCATGAAAATGAAATTGTTGAAAATTTATCTGCAGTACTCACTTGCCAGCTAGGCATCTGTTGATTGTTAATTTCAGCCAAATCTTTAGGCTTTTTTCTTAGGTGGAATGTGTAGGGAAGTATGCTTGAAACAAAGGCATACCCTGTTCCTAAATGGCAGAATCATCAATCTACCATCTATACGAAGAGTTTAGTTTCCTGCAAGATTTAGAGATTATAAATACATAGCGGATGCATATATGTGTATATGTGTGACAGTGCATAATCTTATTTTTCAATCTTTTTACTTCTCTAGACAAGCCGTGATGCTACCGTCGAGATTGAGATTTCTGAAGACAAGCACATGGTGCACTTCGATTTCAATAGGTATCAGTACTTTGTGTCGCTACCGGGACTTTGGTGTAGTTGTGACTTGTATCATTTTCTAACTAACTTGTCTCTCTGGCAGTGCGCCCTTCTTCTTGCACGATGATACTTACATTCTGAAGCTATTGCGGCGTCACCAACCGCCGGAAAGAACAAATCTATCCCAAAATTCTTCACCTTCTCCATGTCCCAGCATTGTATCTGGAGGCGCCAGACCCTTTTATTGGAGCTCTGGCACAGAAACTCCGAACTCCAAACTGAACAAATGTTGAGATGCTTTTACTAGGTTTATGAAACTTTGTATAAAAATCGTTATAGGCTTTTCCCTTATTCTTCTAAATGGCTTTAAGGTAATTTTGTTTCAGTTTTATTGTTTAAGGATTTAGATTTATAGCTTAAATCACAATTGTTTTTCTGATTATCTCGTTTTTCTATAATTCTGTTTTTGCTGATACATATTTAATTACAAGAAAGAAATTAAACCAAAAAAGTGCAGTCAAGGAGATTGCATTCAACTTTATTATCTGGTTCCCGAAAAAAAATAATAAGCAAGTATGAGAACGGCTGTAAAGGGGGCGTGGGTAGAAGTGAGGAATGATGGTGTGATTTAATAATATAATATTCCCATGCAAAAAAAAAAGCAAAGGGGGGAAGGGAAGGGAACAGAGCGGACCGGGGTAAAGGGGTGGGAAGGGAAGGGAACAGAGCGGACCGGGGTAAAGGGGTTCACTGGGGCGGACACTTCTTCGACTGTGAGGCCACACCCACCAAAGCACAAGAACTACCTTTTCTTTTTTATTATAATAATTCCTTTAACAATTTCTTTTCCTTAATTTATCATGCACTATTTCATTATTTTAATCCATATAAATATCAAAATTGGGAGTTGCCCATGTACAGGATCTGCACCACATTAAACTAACATATAAATAATATAATAATTAAGTTGCTCTCCACATACACATAAACGACATCAACTTTTTCCATGCAAGATGAGAACCACTAATCTTTTAATATTTCCCAAGTAAGAGAGAGGCATCAGAAAAAACCTTATGGATTAAGAAACTGAGAGGGAAAACATAGTTCTCAAAACCCTAAAAAGTAATAAAACAAAAAGAGTAGTCTTAGCCTAGTGAGAAGGAACAACTACAAACAAGTAACAACAAGAAGTAAATTATTAGTATATAAATACACAAAAGGCCCCTCCTTTATTTTTGCTCCTCATCACTCCCTCCCACCCCTCTCCCTTGTTTTCCTTTCTTTCTTTCTGTCTTCCTTTCTCTTTTCTCTCTCTCTCTCTCTCTGCAACTCTCTCTCCCTCTCTCTCTAGCTTCTCTCTTTGTTGTTGATGTGATTCTCCACTATTATCTCCAAAAACCCATCAACCTTTACAAAAGATAGAAAGAAAGGCCACCACAAGAGAGAGCCATGGTTTTTTCCTCCATTCCAGCTTATCTTGATCCATCCAACTGGCAACAGGTAACCTCTAGCCCCTCCTTCAATTTTGTTCTCATGAGGAATTTCTCTCCCCCAAAAGAAAGTGAAAACATTTCAAAAGCCAAATATTCTATTTACTTTTGTTTTTCATGATCTTCTTGAATATACCAGATATTTGATTTCTGCTTTTTAATCTGATTTTTCTCCTTTCATTTTGCAGCAACCAAATCATCATCACTTAACAGGAAGCACCAGCAACAACAGCAACATAAACAACAGCAACAACAATTCTCACCTCCTTCCACCTCCGCCACCACCTTCAAACCCTCATGGTGGCGGCAGTGGCCCAGGTGGTGTGGGCTCGATCAGGCCAGGCTCCATGGCAGATCGAGCCCGCATGGCCAACATCCCGCTCCCGGAACCGGCACTAAAATGCCCCAGGTGCGATTCCACCAACACCAAATTCTGCTACTTCAACAACTACAGTCTCTCCCAGCCCCGCCACTTCTGCAAGACCTGCCGAAGGTACTGGACACGCGGCGGCGCGCTGAGAAACGTTCCCGTGGGAGGCGGCTGCAGGAGGAACAAAAGAAGCAAAGGAAGCAGCAGCAGCGCCTCCAAGTCCCCGGTCAGCAGCTCGGACCGGCCAACCGGTTCCCCCGGTTCATCAGGTCAAGCAAATATTGGCTTAAACAACACCGCAAGCACAGCAGATAATAATACTATGATGAGCCCACAAATCCCACCGCTGCGTTTCATGTCGCCTTTTGCCACCGACATGGCCTTAAATTATGGCATGAACGTTAACAATTATGGTGGCGGCGGGGGAGTAGGAGACTTGACCAGTTTTCATCAGATGGGGAGCGGCCTAGGGAGTATCGGTGGGTCGCTCTTTAATTTCCAGCAGCAAACGCCGTCGTTTCCCTTCTTGACAGCTGGCGGCGGGCTGGACCCTTCGCCGGCAGGTGCGGGGATGATGTTCGAGAGCAGTGGAGTTGAGGTGACGGGTTACAATCAGGTGAGGCACAGAGCACCGTCTGGTCACGGTGTTGCGGGGATGAACTCTCAGATGGCTGCGGTCAAGATGGAACTAGAAAGTCAACAACATCATCAAAATCAAAATCAAAGTCAAAATCCGGAGTTAAATTTGTCTAGGCAGTTGATGGGGATGAGCTCGGGAAATGATCAGTATTGGGGTAATGGAGGTGGAGGCGGTGGCGGCACTAGTAATACTGCATGGACTGATCTTTCTGGTTTTAGCTCTACAACTTCCACACCTAGCAACAATATTAATAATCCCCTATAACAATTCAATTTCTATTATCTTATGATCTTTTGTGGTATATTGGTCTCATCAGATCTAATATACTTAGCTGTGAAGCTGGCTTTGGGTTTTAATTTCTTAGTGTAGCTTCAATTAATTCTATTCTATAGAAAGTTAACTTGGAAAAGATACCGATCCATTGGATGAAGCTATAGATCTGCCCCGTGAATGAGATGAAGGAAGATTGGGAGAGGTGGCTGATGGGCTTTGTTCGTCGTGAATCGTGATGAAGTAGTGGAAACCCTAGAAATGGTAGGTTTTTCATTTTTAGTTTACGTTTTCTTTTTGTTTTTCCAGCTTCATCTGGGAGCTGAGGGTTTTTTTCTTTTTCTTTTTTGAATTTAGTTTTAGGATGGCAATATTGTATGAGCTAGATAGGATGTTTGCAATACTAGTAGTGAGTGTATGAGTAGTTCATGGAGTTTTGAAATCCGAATTGAACATGTACTTCATGGATTTTCTTTCATGGAATTTGATGTTCTTCTATATATGCTAGCTGCTGCTGTCATGAACTTTTTTGTGCTGTGTATGTAGCAATTGTTACATATATAATTAACTATGATATTTATCCAATTCTCAGTTGAACTTTCCGCCATTTTGATATTTGCCCGCAGCAATGATTCCGTCTCATTTGTTCCACTAATCTCTGAAATGGTATAACGTTGTTAGAGATGGACCTTTTAATTGTTAAAAGCTTCTTTTCGTTTTAATCTTTTGAAATCAACTTTCATTTATGCTGAAGAGTGGCGGAGGATATGTCAGAATGTTCACCGGTTTGAACAACGTCGCTTGCCAGTAGGCAAATTGTGCAACTTTGATGCAGTACTTCCAAAATGATTTTTTTATTTTTGGGTTACATTGGGAGGAAAGAAATCCTGGGGTTTTGATCGTGGGTGCCAAGCATGGGGGAAGGGGGAGGGCCACAACCATTGTGTTTGTGGTAACCGACTAAAAAATGAAATTTGAAGATTAGGGCAAAGGTTCAAAATACTTCAATGGAGTCTTTCTTTTCTTGACTTTAATTGATTCCCGGCCCCCATTTAATACATGAAAAGTTGATAATTTGTTATGGATTTAGGTTGCACAAGCATGTTATTATATTGACAAATTTTATAATAAAAGTCTAAAGTCCACATTTGTTCTACAGATATTACTAAAAGGACTAAGCTTCCAGTCTAAGCAAGCTTATGACTGTATGCGTTTCAAGTGTCGGCCCTCTGACTAACAAGGTCGTCGTCCATGATCATTTATCAAATCAGAAAGACTGTTAATTAGTACAATTTCAAATGGCTTTTCTAATCAATTTATTTCATAGTCTTTTCTCAAGAATATGCTGATCCTATTTCAACAACCAACACGGTTACGTATTTGCTCTAGATTATTACTTCACTAATTAATTTACCAGGTCAGGCAAAATACGCTAATTAAGGTTGATTACTTCAATTAACATCCCATAGTTGCTAAATAATTATTTCGTGGTTGGGCTTGGGGGACAAAAAAAGAATAAACCTAGCTTAGCTGGAGAGTGATCTTTAAAAAGCCATAGATTTTGGCAAAATCAGCGTCTCCATCTCCATCCATTGATTTGTGGGGACAAAGCGCCATAAATTTCAGTTCTAAAATATTTATTCTATCTATTGGTTCCATTACATTTGCTGCATGGAAGATACAGAGAAATCAGCTGCCCACTTTCTCCTTGATCTAACCAATAACATATATGTATGTATACATCCACATTCCACATTCCACATTCCACATTCCACCCTGAGAGAGAGAGAGAGAGAGAGAGAGAGAGTTGAGTGACATCCAACTCTCCAACAAAACCAATTGTTTACTTAACATGCATGGCTAAGTTCTGTTTTATTATAGATTAATACTATTGTTATGCGCATGATTTTAAATGATTGATATATATATATATATATTCCAATAATTGGAATGACACATAGCAGTGATTGGTTTGGAGAGAGAGAGAGAGAGAGAGAGAGAGAGAGAGAGAGAGAGAGAGAGAGTGAGATTTTGGACCGACAGAGAGCAAAAAAATGATTTTGTAATAATTTTATGTGTCCTTGTAAGGAGATGATGATGATGATGATGATGAGGCTGCGTTAATTTCGTGAAATTGGTTTTTGGTATGTAGGACAAGTCTCTCAAAAGACGCCAAAATCACCCCTCAATTCCACACAACCAAAATTCCACATTCCAAAATCTTAGACAACGAGAGACATAGATTTTTGGTCTTCTACTTTCATACCCACCCACCACCACAACATAAGACTTTGTGTTTTTGTTTTTGTTTTCATTTTTGTTTGTGTTTGTTTTTATTCTCGAACTTTGTGTGCTGCTGAAAGAATATAACGTAAGTGAAAGATTTTCAAGTTTTGATCTCATGCTCATTGGAACACGGAAGACAGAATGTCTGACCAGGTCTCGCCCGCTACCAGACAAACTACTGATTTGTCAAGTTTCGTGGACCTGACAGTCTGACATGGCAGGGGTCCCAGTGATTCGATAGAACGTTGGCACTCGCTTCAGAGCTGCGTGCTAGCTAGCTAACTTTGCTATCTCATTTGCCACCATTTCTGATCTGACTGACTGACACACACACTCTGACTGTGCGCGGTCCAACTTGTCATTTTTATTTCAAACTAAACTATTCATCTCTCATTTTTATGCTTGAAGAAAGTGAGAGAGATCCCATTGATCGATCCTTCCAATCCATTTCTTTATCTGTGAACAACCGATAATTAAGTTTCTAATCCCACTCAATCATTTAAAGGAATGCAATGATAATAATCCACTTTTAATTCTACAAACTTGTCTTTAATCAATTTAATTATAGTAATCTAATCTATAATTAAAGTTGTGAGTGAAATTTCACGTTAATTTTGTAAGGAGTCATCGATTGGTATATAAAGAACCAGACGAGACACATAATTTCAAAACATATATTTTTGGCTAGTTAGTGGCTAAATTGAAAAGAATATTGTATAAGTGTGTGTGAGTTCGTGAAAATTCGTGGTCAGACTATCTTTTTTTTATTTATAAAGAATGGATAATATATCAAATGTTGTTTGAAGTGTGGAATACATGTGTTCAATCTTTCAATTATTAAGTCATCCTTGGTCACGAAGACATAAACAAAAAAAGAAAAGAAAAAAAGAGGGCTAAGTAAAGTGACTCTTGTGGGAAGATGGATATTGGATAACGAGATTTATTGTCCACCTACTTGTTTGGCCTTTGTTAGGAAATGATTTCCAACTTGGTTCCTATAGGTTTTTTGTTGTTGCAATAATTGGAAACCAATCAAAGCTCTAGATTTAGCTCTTTGGTTTCTCATCTCTCTCTTAATTACTACCATTGAAAACCAAGCACTAAACCTCTATCAATCTGAAAACTCGATCTAGATTAGGTTGGTTCGATCAACATTATTGTTTTGTTGTCCCCTTTAACTTAAATTAAAGGTCATTCAATTGACTTAAATTGGTAGTTTGATTGGTATGAAGTAATCAACTGGGATCTCGAGTTTCTGCAATATAACTAAACTGTAGTATAGTACTAGTATGCCACCACAATTGAACTAAAAACGAATCCTTTCTAGTACAAATAGAAAGCATATTTGGCAAAGCTAGTTTGGGACGAATTTTGATCAAACAACAAAACAGCGCCTTGCAGCCTTGCAGCCTTGCAGCCTTGCAGGTTAAGTATTCAAGGCGCCAGCCTAGACATATAATTGTAGTTGTCTTTCTAATAATTGTTTCTCCTAAAGATTTCTCAAGAGATCTGCTGCTGCTATATAATATTATAATGTTTTGGTATAAATCGGGTACCAAGAAAGACTGCAGGTACGTACAATATTATAGTTGGACCAGACGTCAAATTGATAACAAATCTCGCTTTCAGTATAGTTGAGAAACTTCCCCCTACATGTTCCTAGGCCTAGCTGTTACTAACCAATATATTAATTCCAAGTTGGAATGGTCGTGTTGAAAGAAAGGAATCTATGTAGGGTGTTTGGATTTGCTTTTTGCAAGAACCAAGGCTGGCCGGCCTTGCCAAGAAGGAATAAAGCATATTCAAAATCAAAACCCTCAAATATATGGTCATGGGTTTTGGTCAGCTTAATTGGAATTTGGGTTGTGTGTGTGGAAATCAGAGGAATTTGAAGGATCCCAAAAGTATTGGCATCTTCTTCTGATCATAATCTGCAGTACTTGTAAATTAAAAGTCACAACCCCCAACCAATTAAAGAAGATGAAGCTGTTAGTGTTTTTCTACTTGTACGAACAAGATAGAGGGCAGGAGAAGGAATTTTGGAGGCTCGGAAATCCAAGCCAGTATATATTCTAACTTCATATAACATCGATCCTCATCATGTTGATGATGGCCACATGGGTTTGTGTGAATAGTAGTGACATGCGCTCTTCTCTCTTCCGCACACACACACACACAGACCATATAGCAGCAGCAGCTTTCACTTTTAACATGTTGTCCTTGTTATATATGACGCATAATCTCTCTCTCTCTCTCTCTCTCTCTCTCTCTCTCTCTCTGTGTATGGATATATATAATACTCATCATCATCAACAGGTGGAGACACATAGAAAGAGATTGAGATTCTAAGCTCTTCTGAGATATAGACCTCACGTTCTCCCACATGTTTTGATCTCAAGTATACATGCATATACAAAAATATACCCCTCTTTTAGATTCTTTGTGGTATTCTACCTAGAGGAATGTGTGACTTGTTGATGCATGTATATTCTACATAAATTAATAGGTCACAATCATTTATATATATATATATATAACAGGTAAGCTGGAAATAAAATCCAAGTAGTTTTGAGGAGCTTCCCTTTACAACATTAAAGATTACATTTGGCAGTAAATGAGTGTAGCTCACAGACAGGAGTCAAATATAGGATATAAATTATAATTCCCAAGGTCCCCTACATACCATATCTGTTTAGGTGAGAATAGCATCCTATGAAGTCACTTTCCCAACATTTCAAAATAGCCATGCATTTCCTAATTGACTTTATACATGTTGATTTCAGATTAGCAAAACCACTTGGTAAAGTTAATTATTCCCAACTTGGTCCAGCAGCAGCTAATTAACAAAGCTATACAAAACGTGTGTAGAGGAGATCATGATCTAATGCAAATTCATGGGTTTTTTTTTAGTACAAGCGATAGTCTAAACTACAAGAGGAGAGGATTTCTCACACACACGCACACAACTAAGATGTCATGGGGTTCGAACTTGAAACCTCTTGTTTGTAAGTCAATGCCCTTTTCCACTGGGCTAGATCCGTTGGCACAAATTCATAGTTATTAAGTAAGTCCTTTGGAATTTTTTAGTTGGAAAGTTCAAATCAAGTGTACAATTCATTTGGGTTTTTATATATGAAACGCGTGAATTAATATTCTTGCTTTACCAAGTATAGAATATAAGAATCAGATTGGATCAAGACCTTAATAATAATAA